GCTTGGAACTTAGAGTCCTGGGCTCTGGGCTCTCCTTATGAGGATGTCAGCAGAACAGAGAGGGCTGGAGCACACCCCGCAGGCTCGGAGGGGTGCTGGGTCACAGGAGGACCAGGCATGGAGGTTGAAGGGCTCCGGGCAGGCACACAGGGGCTGGGGGTTAGGGGCTAGGATATAGACTGGAAAATGCCTTCCAATGCCCAGATTTTACAGATGAAGGGAGCTCAGAGCCAGGTTCAGAGACAGCAAGGAGCGCACCTAATGTTGGAAGTAGTAAAGTTCCTTTTTAAAGTTTCCTTTCTTGTTAAATCATAAGTTTGCTAATAATTTTTGTTAAGCCCTATCCTATGTAGCTGTTAGACATGCCATGCTCACAGGAACATAGGACATTCTATGTCCTTGTACTTTAACCAAGATACCTGTGCTGGACGTGCTCACAGGCATGTCCCAGCTCTCCATTGCTTTTACCTGTTTAGAAAAGTTTTAAGTTGTTAGCCAATTGGGTTTTAGTTTAGATTGTGAGGTCTGGCTCCAGTCAATGGAGATCAGACACAGCAGTAAGGACGACTCCAAATACGTAAGGGATAAATTTGTGCATTTTCCTTTGGTCATTGTACTCTTGTGGAAAGATGGCTAGCGAGAGTACCCCTCCTGCAGTCCAGGAAGTAAAAATTGCATTGCTGAAAGATCTTTTGTCTCAGTGCTAATTTTTCTTTGCAGCACTGAACATCCATTTCCAACACCTAAGTTTACACAGCCAACCAGAGGATAAGTTAGGCTGGAGCTCATCTCTCTTGGGAAAGAGAACATGGGTCCTTCCTGATGCTTCTAAGGTGTTTCTCATCATCCTCTTTGGGGCTCAACATTTCTACTGTGAGCTCATCATCTGTGAATCCACCTACGTCTCATCATTCTATTTTTCAGCCTGAACTCACCCTCCACATGTGCCTGCCCAAATATGAGAAGGTCTCCAAGGCAACTTTCCTAAGAAAATGGCTACGTCTCTATCTGACGCCCAAATACTCAAGCACAGGGTCCTGCAATTCCCTTTACATTCGGTTCCCTTCCACCAAAGAGGCTTTCTATTCTGCCACCATCTCAGCCTCTGGGAGGTTCTCCAGGAATCTGTCTGGAAACCAGGACTTGGCACTTATCAGGAAGAAACTGGCATCAGCTTAGAAAACCAGCAAGGCAAGTGGAATGGGAATGAGGGTGGGTTCGAGATTCGCCCCTTCCAAAGAGAGAGTAGATTCCACTCCATCACCCCATAGTGTTTTTTAAGGACATACAGGCCAGGAAGCTTCTCATCTCAGGATAGGCTTGGAGCAATTCTCAGACCAGGTAGCCTTGGCACATGAATGAAATGAGGAAGCATGACTGGGACCCAGGCGAAAGGGACATTGTTGTCCAGGGATTGAAAAATGGGGAGTCCCAATGCTATTGGGGTGCCCACCAGCATCCTCACTGATAAACTAAGTCATGTAGACTAAACACCTACATGCTGTGATCTGCCCAAGTGCTGGGCTTCATACATACCTACTAATAAATCCTTATAATAATCCTGAGAGTGGGGGGCTCTTATCATCTCCCTTGTACAACTCCATTTTCTACTTTGCATCTCCGGTTCTATCCAGCCGGGTGTGAGGCTGTGCACACACACTGGGTGACCTCACTTGATGACATTAAGACTGGGTGCCCTGTGTAGTCCACAGATGCGGGTACCACTGAGTCCTGATGTTTAGAATTCAGACATTGGGGTCCATCTTTTCTTCCTGTGTTTTTCCTGTGTTGGGGAGAAGGGCAGTGAGGAGGAGAGGGAAAGGTGGGAACCACTGGCATTCTGCCTTGATGATTCTTGAATTACTTCCTGCTAGGAAGGGGACCTGGCTGGGAACAATGCAGGACACCCTTCCCTGGAGGGGAAAGTCCTGCCAGGAGTGGGGGACTAGAGGGTGCTCAGGAAATGCCTGAGTCACCCTGAGGACGCTGAGCTCTCCTTGGCACCCCTGCATGTATGTGAAATCACGGTGCTGGCATGGAGAGGGATTCAGAGGACACAAAGGGTCTGAGCTAATTCCTGTCCCCAGCCTTCTTTCTCTCTTGGGTGGTCCCACTTGGCTTCTTTGAACCCCTTTACTGCACTGAGAATGCAGACAGGCACCGGACCCAGGGCTGGCCAGGAGGAGATGAGTCTGGGGCGTGCATAGAGTGGAAGTAGGAGGATGCTTCTCAGAGGGTCACTGGCGCCGGACTCATCCTTCGTGCCCTCCACCCACGGCTCAGCCCTGAAACATTAGGTCCTATGATAGGTCCAGTGATGATAGGACCTGCCATGTTTGTTTTCCTTCTCTGAGAGATCATATAGAAGGAATCCTCTTTTCTAACAGCTGAATACAGGTTTATAATATCTTTTGTCCAGTGTTATACTTCTAAAGTAGAAGGCTAAACCTGGTCCTGGTTATCCTCGTTACTCCATCACAGCAGGAAGGAGAAGCCCCTCCTCCAACCCATGCCTGTCTTTTGCCCCTCCTCCTCCACTTGGAAACTTTTGGCCCATCTGGGTGTTGACTCTGATGCAAGTCAGGGGTGCCTGCATCGGCGTCTGTGCGTGTGGTTGTGGTTTGCGTGTTTGTGTAGCGTCTGGTTATGCAAGAGTCCCTAAGGTGGAAGTGGGGCGTGGGAATGGAGTGCAGGGGAAGTGGAGGTGTAAGGGAAGTGAAGAGGTGTGACATAGCTGCTTAGGAAGGACAGAGTTCTTCCTAGCGACTGGGAAGTTTCATTTGGGGTTCTGGCAGCATTAAGAGCTCCTCCCCCACCCCCTGGATGGTAATTCTGAATTTAAGTGAGACCAGCTGGTGTGGTTTTGTTCAGCTGAGCATGGGCAGGGCAGGAAGACTGAGAGTTTGCTATTTTCTGTCCTGAGAAGCCGCTCTGCCTCCTCAGGAGCTCCATCCCTACCCTGTCCTCCTTCCTAGCTCCTTCCCAGGGTCCTCAAGATTTTGTAAGCACCCTCGCAGGGGTGGTCAGGTCCCATCAGGGTTGTCTGGGCATGTGTGTGCAGGTGTGTGTAGGTGTGTATGTGGGTGTGTGAGTGGGTGGAGGCTTGTGTGTTTCATAGGTTTCAGAAATTTTGAGGAAGAAGAAAGCATAAGACATCTGACGTCTCTTGTGACATCACGAAGAGCAAGAAACTAAGAAATGTCTCAGGCTCTTGCAGGGAAGAAGAGTTGGGCAGTAATAGATTGGGGCAGGCGAGGAAGGACCGTGGAGGGTTTGGTGTTGAGTGAGGTGGCCCAGATGGTGTCTGTGCATCCTCAAGACCTGGGAGGAGGAAGGCTCCATCTGTGGTGGCTGGATCCACAAAGCTTATCCGCCAGAATCACTTGAAGAGCTTAACACAGTCTAGTTGGGCATCAGCCCAGTAGCAGCCAATACAATCACACAGAATCTACAGCAGCACTGCAGGGATGAGTGACAGTGGCAGAGGAGATCCATGCCAGGTGAAGAGGGCACAGGCCCAGGATCCTCGGACTCCCAACATGGCCTTCTCCCCCCTCATCGGCCATGTCCCTGGGGAGATGAGAGGGGTATGGGACTTATGCTGGCCCATATCTCCTTTCTCAGGACCTGGGGTAGGATGGCCATTCATGAATGGAGGAATAAGAAGATCTGGTGAGATAAGCTTAGCCTGGCTCTTAGCTGGGCAGGAACACAGGACACCAGGGCATTGAGGACCCCACTCCCACTTATGGCCAGTACCAACTTGACCTGGCGCCTGCCTGTCCAGAGCCGACCAGGAAGATGGCACTGGCCTGGGATTGGCTCCCTATGGCCCTGCTGGCCCCCACTGGTCCTCAATGTCACCAGTGGCATTGGCCCCTAACAAGAGAGCCCGCCTATCCTTTGAAGCATTGAAGCTTCAAATAAAAGGCATCTTCTTCCAATAAAAGGCTGTTTTGTCTACACTGAATATCTATGTTTAGCAGCTACTCAGGGAAGCAGCCCCTTCATTAATCGTCCTGGCTGGATCTTCTGGATAACTTTGTGTAGCTTCTCCATCAGCACTTGCTGCTTCACCTTGCTCTTTATGTTACAGAGATGACTTCTTTCCATTCAGTTTTTCACTCTCATCACTAGGGATCAAATACTGGATGTTCAGTTATGTTGGAATTTCAGATTATAATGAAGGACTTTTAAAAAGTGTGCTCTTTACCGTCCTTTCCCTCACCATCTTTCCTCTTCCTCATCCCTCCTGGCCTTTCCCAAGAGCACCCTGCGTCTCCCTCCGTTGCATGGTGTTCCACAGGCCGTCATGTACCCACTGTAGTGCCCCAAAGACCAAGGGCCCTTCTGTTTAACAGAATTCATTTCCTCAAGTTATAAAAGTTATTAAAAAATTATTTTAGGCAGATAGGAAAAGGGGTCCTTGGGAAGTTTTTGTTCCTTTTAAAACAGCTCCAAAAAATGTTTCTTGTCTAGCAGGAAAGCCCCAGCTCTTGGAGTCAGATCTGCAACCTTTGATATGCAAATGGAGGCCATTAGAAACTGGGTCCACTCAACGCGGGGATTCCCACCATCTTTTCCTTGCTCCCATATGTGCCTGGCAACATGGCCGCCCCCACATAGCCCCACATGTGTAGAACATCTTGGTGCCCTACATTTGCATATTAAAAAAACTAGGGTGAAAGGGCCAGGTTTTTCAGGGGTTACATGAATGACATGCCTGGTCAGAACAGTGCCCTGAGCCCTATGCAAATAAGACACTGCCTCCTCCAGCCTCCTTATAGAACTGGCTGATTTCCAAGGCACTCAGGGTTTCTTCTCTCAACTTTGGAGTCCCCCCTCCCTCTGTCTCTGTACAGAGGAGCTTCTTCCTTCTTTCTTGCCTGTTAAACTCCACTCTTTAAAACCACTCCATGTGTTTCCATGTCGTTTTATTGGTGCAAGACTAAGGACCCTGGTGTTCCTCCAGTCATCGGAGCCATATCACTTATAATATATGCAATCTTTTCCCCTTTAATAATGTCTGGATATTTTGGAATTAATCTCTCAGACTTCTTTCTAATACATGTTGTTCATTATGCCATCTTGTTTGTTATGAACAGACGATTCTACTTTATGATGTACTAAAATGTTGTTATGAATTTCAGCACTATTGAACATTTAAGTTGTTTATCATTTTCTTTGACCACCAACATTGCTGTAATGAACAGGGATTTAAGAGCAAAAATAACAAGAACAGTTGCTTTAGCACTTATTAAAACATATCATAAAGCTACAACAATCAAAACGGTGGATGCCAGACAGACAACAAGGTAACAAAACAGGGAGCCTAGGAATTGATACAGTATATATACAAAGATTTCCTATATCACAAAAGTGACACTTTAGATACATAGAAAAATAATTTCAACAAATACCAAAGGCACCTCTAACATCCACCCATTCAAAAGTAATTAAAATTTTACATGAAAAATTTGAAACACAAACAGAACTAGAAAAACATATATAAATTACAACAAACGCTGCTTTGCAGTGGGAAGACCTTTGTAAATTTGGCAGTAAAAGTGAAGAAGGAGTTTACTAGGGAGCTCTTTGACATCACAGAAGCATTCACATTTGTATACCAAAAAGCCTCATATACAACATTATAAGACAAACCCACAGAGTTGGGGGAAAAACACTCCACCATCTGGCCATATGTAAATAGTTGAAAAAACTTAATGAGAAAATGATAGCACCCAACAGAACAAAGACCGTAATGGACTTAGCCCAGTTAAAAAATACTAACCAATGCCTAAGACACCTATAAAGATATGTGCAAACTGGATAATTAAAATAATGCAAATTAAAGCAATTTAATGCCATTATTTTTCATGTATCTGAAAGGGAAAGATTTAAAAGAACCATAAGCACTGATGCAGGCCCAGGCATAGACCAGCAGCCCCTCATCTGTGGCCCGTGGAAGTGAGGGTTACAGGGTCTGTCTGAAAGAGTGGCCACTTGGACTAAAAGCCTGAAAGCATATATGCCTTTAGGAGAATTTTCCCTTGTTTAGCAGTTTTTCCCCACTTTTCTGCAGTAGATGTGGGTTCTGGACTCCCCTCCTGATGTTCTCCAGGTCTCACAAGCCTGCCCATCACTTGGATCTTAACTTCTCTACATGACATGGGGTCTCAGGGGACTGGAGCCCCACAGACATCACTGAGACAACCAGCAGGGCTCCCCAAAAGCTCCCAAACAGCCTCTCATGTGTGTGCCTTGCACACACACACACACACCCCATTACCATGCCCATTTCTCGGAGTGACAGTCGAGGCTAGTCTGAACTCAGAGCCCCACTGAGCACGCCCAGACCTGTGCCACTCTTCCAAGCCCTAACCCCCACAGTGCCCACCTGGTACCTCCCGCCTCTGCATGTATATGAGAATCATGTCATGTGCATCAGTGCCTGCCGGGGACAGGCAGCCCCCACAAGTCCTAAACACAACCAGACGCGTCTCAATCTGACAAGGCTCAGCTCAGACCTCAGCCTCACTCTCATAATAAATCAGTGGCAAAAGAAGGAAGAAACATGGCAAATGCAAGGAAACTTGATAAAAAAGAAAATGAAGGGAAGATGGAATGAGTATGTCTAGAAAGCTCTAATAATTCAGAAGCTAAAAATAACCGGAAAGAAAAAGTGGGCGTGTACGTGTGTGCGCGCGCATGCGCGTGGGAAGACAAGTGATTTGCTGAAGGTCAAGGGGGCCGGAGCAAGGCTGACTCCTTTCCCACGCCTGCCTCCGGCCACCTCAACAGGAGACGGCCCCTTGACTTTGCAGAAATGACTGAGGAAGCCCGGGCGGGAGGGAAGGCAAGCCCTCTCGGTCCCCTCGCCTGTCGAGGTCTGAGGGTCTCAGCACACCTCCCCAGGCCTGCTGACCTCCCAAGGGGGCAGCGACAGGTAGTCCTGCTGCTTCAGGGCTTTGAAGAGCTGAATGACGGGCACCTGGGGCATGCCCTGGCCTGGGGGCTTCTTGACTTGCAAAGCCTGGTCTGAGTCCCTGATCTCAGGAGAGGGTCCCGGGGAAGAGGGCTTACTCCGGGGTGAGACAGGGCCAGCCCCCAGGCCGGGGAGGAAGCAATACTCGCCCACCTGCTGCAGGACAAGTAGGCCCTCGGAGTGTGGGGATGTTGGGGATACATCTGCCCGGTGCTCCCCTGGGTTCAGGACAGGGCTACTGGCCTCCGGGGGGACAAGATTGTTCAATGGGGACCTGGGGGACTGGGCCTCAGTTGGAGGGAGCGCCACATAGCCCTCAAACCCTGACTTCACAGGGCCTGGGGCTCCAGGGTGTCCACCGGCCAGCTCAGGACAGAAGCTGGGGGTCTGGTCTGCAGGGAGGCCCAGAGAGGGAACCTGGGAGACAGGTGAGGCCCCTGACTGTGGGGGGAATACCAAATCTGCAGAGCAGACGTAACCAGAGGCCACTCCAGGGTCCTCAGGGTCCTTAGAGCTTGTGGGCACAGCCACAGGGCTGTCCTCTGGGTCCTGTCTTCCCACCCTTGTGGTAAGAGCAGGAGGGGCAGGGCCTCCCCCGGACTCCAGGGAGGGGCTCCCCTCAGCCCCCCGGCTCGGCCTCCTCTCCACATCCATGGCCTGGCCCTGCCCGATCGACTGGGCCAGTGGGACCAGCTGCACCTGCCCCCCAGCAGGCAGACATAGGTACTCCAGGGATCCTGGAGGCAGGGGCTTCTGGCTCCCACCTGCCTGTGGGGGCTCCGGCTGGCACAGGCTGTCAGGCAGGGAGTGGCTTTGGGGCGACCCCAGGTAGGGGCCATTGAAGTCGAAGCTGGAAGCCTGCTTTTCAGGCGTGTGGGAGGGGGCAGGTGGGCCTGGCCGGGGACTGGGGGGCTGTTCTGTGGGCAGGTCTGAGGCAGCTGGAGTCGTGTCAGGCCCAGATGGTGGATCACAGACATGCTTGGGGTCCTCTGTGGTGAGAGGTGACACCTCACTGTCCTTGAATCCTACAAGGAACACTCTGTGGGGAGAATATGGGCGGAAGAGTTGGGACCACCCTGAGCAGATGATTTGGCTCAGGTGCAAGGGTCTTGGCAGGGTGGGGGTAGTTCTCTAGAAGCCCTCATGTGCCCCAGAGCTTGCAGTGAGAACCTGAGCAGGGCAGGGTTGAGGGCTCAGGGACCCCAGAGAAGGACACAGGACATGGATTCAGTCTCTCTGTGGCTCAGGACCTCCGTCCTCTGTGTTGAGCTCAAGGTCTTCCTCTGCAAGGCTGGAGCCCTCTCCCTTTTGACCTTAAAGTCCATCCTCCTTCAGCACCAGGTTCATGCCCAGCCTGTGCACTGGGCAACCCCTTCCATCATTCTACCAACCGTGCCACACCCCGCTCCCGACCGAGCCAGCGGTGAGCTGCCGGCTGAGGCGCTGAGGCCCTGGGAGTTTGCAGTCCCAGCTACCCCATGAGGCCTCTGCAGTGTGATGCCTCCCGAGGCAGCAGGGCAGGGGAGGGCCATCTGCTCCCCTCTTCCACCTCTGGTCAAGTCTCTTGTCTGGGCCTCCCTAACCTGGGGAGAGGAAGTTCTTCCTCACATCCACCCCAGGTGCCTCCTGCTTTAGTGCAAACCAGCCTCCTTGGATCTCTTCACAGTGAGCCACAGGGAACCTCACTTGAGTCCCTGATTGGCACCATGGCGTCAGCCCCCTATTTGCTCCCCACAGGTCAGGAGCGATCCACAAGCCCAGACACTCACCCCTCCAGCTCAGAGAAGTGGCTGTTCCACGGCCCCTGCTCTGGGGGACTCCTGCTGGTGAAGGCCGCCACGCTGCCTGGAGGCCGCCGCTCTGCAATCCCGTTCTGCAAGAACAGACACATTCCAGCCTGTGGGCATCAGGAGGCCTGGAGGTGGGGCAAGGCAGAGGGTGATGGGGGTACAGGGGATCCAAGGAGCCCCCAGATAAGAGAAGATTCCCCACTTCTTTAGGAGTGGCCATGGCCTTTTGACACTGGCAAAGTGAAGCCCAGAGAGGGGCTGGGACTTCCCCCCCATCCCTGATACCTGAGGACAGGGCGCTGTTCCTGTGATTTTTCTTACCTGGGGTGTCGCTGTCTCCACGCTCACCCCATTTCTCCTCCATACCAGCCAAGAGACCCCTCCACAGGCAAAGCTGGCCGTGGCTGCCTGACCGAAGGGCTCCCACCACCCACATGCTGGTGTTCTCCCCATGGTCATCTCGGCCTCCTGTCCCACCTCCTCAGCTCCCTTCCTGAAGGGTTTCTGTCTCCACCCTCGAGATGCCCTGAGGCTGAGCAACCTTTGCCACCTGGTACCACTGGCACCCTCAAAGCTTAGCCCAGGTGTCCTGTCCTTGGGGAGCCCTTCTGCCTGACACCCATCTGTCTTGGTAGCAGGAACCCCCTCTGTGAGCCCACCCTGTCCCGGGCATCCCCACACTCAGTTCTCTCCATTGGGGTCCTTGCAGATCTCTGGCAAGCAGGGCCAGGCGTGGGCAGTCCACGTGCCCAGGGAATCCCAGGAAGGGATTTCCAAGTGCTGGTCCCACTCCCAAAGCTTCCAAAACCCCTCTCCAGTCCACTTACCTCCTGACCACCCAAAACCCACAGGAAGAGATGGAGGAGGTGGGGACAGAGACAGGAGAGGCAGGAACAGAGAAGCCCCCCACCCCACCCCTCGAAGCCAGTTCCTACCTTGAACAGGTGGCTCTTGCTGGGGTTGGGGATCGTCTCCTCCCACTTTCTGCTCAGCCTGGAAGACACCAGGGAGGTGACAGCCATCAGAGACCTCAGAACCAGCTGCTCCCATGCTCATGCCCAGGGGGGAAACTGAGGCCCAGGAAGTAGGTGGCAGAGTAGGGCTTGGAGGGAGCTGGGTGGGATTCCCTGGTGCCCTCTGGGGTCTTGGTTACCACTCCAGCCCCACAGAGTCCCCTCACCTGTACCCATAGATGCCACAGAAGCGGAGGGCCACGAGCACAGTGAGGGTAAGGAGCACCACGACGAGCGGCAGCACCCACACGGGCAGCGCTTCCAGCAGCCAGGGAGGAAGAGCAGCATCAGCATCAGGGAGGGGAATGGACCTTGGGGCACGGAGCGGGGTTGGCGCAGTATCCCCCAAGACCCTGCTCCTTGCAGGCCTAGGGCTCTGGAACTTACTGCCTCGGGGGACTAGGGGAGAGAGGCCAGACTCATGCTGAGAAGGGCATTGGCCCCTACCCCCACAATGTTCAAAGAGCTGGGAGCACACAGGAAGGTCAGATCCTTTCCAGTCACAGGAGGTGCTATGGGGAAGGCAAGAACTACAGTTCATGGCAATCACAGGGGACTTCGTGAAGGAGGTGGCATAGTAGCTGGGCCTTGTTAACAGGAAGGACTAGAGAGGTAGAGATGGGGAAAGGCATGCTGGCAGAGGCACCAGCAGGTGCAAAGGCCCATCCGGAGGCCCCGATACCTCCTGTTGCCCAGCCCTGAGCCTCTCGAAGGCCAGGTTCCTCCAGGACTCCCCTCTTCCTCCTCCCTTGGGCCCATTGGTCAAGCCTCTTTTCTGTTTGGTTGGGGCCCTGTCCCTGGGCCCCTGCAGCTACCAAGTCTGGCTGTGGACTTGGGCTGCTCGCAGTATCTCCTGTGTCCTCACTCTCTCTGAAAGCATCCGTGGTCTTGTCTTGTTCTACAGGAGTTCCCTGGTGGCCACTATGGTGAAAGGTGAGGGGTAAGTGCACGCAGCAAGAGCAGGGAGGTGGGGAGATGAAGGGATCACAGCAAAACCTTCCAATCCAAAGACCCAGTCTGCGGCTCTAGATTTACTTGCTTCCATGGTGACAGGGAACTCGGAATGAGCAATCACAAAAGCGTGGTAGACCCCAAAGCTAAGAAACCAAAGGCCATATTAACAAAGGCCTAAGTCCCAGTTTAAAGGAGGAGTGTTGGTGAGATCTGTTCTCCTCTGCTCCCTCAAGTCCTCACTTGCAGTCCGTATTACACACCAGGTGTCACTTTCCCAAGGGAGGGAAGGGGGCCTGAGTGGGGTGGGGTCTGGAGCCCCACATCTCTGTACCCACACAGTCTGCATCCTCTGCCTGGCTGTGCTGTCTCATGAAGAGTGGGTGGAGAACTGACTCCATACCCAGGTTCTGCTTTCTTTACCCTTTGCTCTTCCATCGTGCGGGTCTGCCAGCCAGGTGGGAGGTGCTGCCTGCAAAGGCCTTCCCTTTCTCTTTGGCCACCACCTAACTGGGAAGAGGGCTCATCTACAAGTCATGGCAGGCCTGCTACTGCTGCTGCATTGGGGATTTTCTGGCAGTGAGAAACTCTGAGCTGGTCCCGGCCAGAAGCTGTGGACTCCGGCCTGCACCTACCCCACTCGGTTTCCCAGGAGCGCTCCTCACTCCACTGGCTCCAGATCCCATCGTAGCCGCTGCGGGAGGTCCTGACCCTCACCCTGGCCCAGTACGTGGTGGAGGGCTCCAGAGCTGGCAGGGCCATGCTGTGGGCATTCTGGAGGGTCTCAGTCTTGCTGTCCTGTGGGTTGGCGCTGAGGGTGAGGCCTGGCCCTGTGGCCCATGGGCGTGGCTGCAAATCCCTCCCACCTGGACCCCCAGTGTTGCGGGCTCCCAGCTCCTGCCCTGCTCAGGCCTGCTGCGGCTTCTCTCTCACCACCATGGAGCCTCCCCAAGGGCCACCCAGGGACAGCACAGCGGATGGGACTGGGGACTCCGCAGCCCCCGACATTGACAGCACTGAGGCCCGGAGTGCTGAAGCCACCTCCCCACCCTCTTTTAAGCCTCCTCAGCTCCCAGCCCTTCTGGGGCAGCCTGCACCCACACTGTGGCCTTTCCAGGAATGTAGTGCAGGCCGGCTGGACTCTGGACCCCGAGATGGGGATTCAGGAGCCCAGGGCCCACTCCCAGCCCCACCACTGGCCCACCGCTGGCCCACCGCCCTCCTGGCCTCAGTTGCTGCATTTCTAGGCTGAAGGTCTGGGATTGGTTCTGTGGTTTCTTCTCTGGCCTCTGTGGAGGCAGGGGACTGAGCCCTGGCCTGGCCCCCCGACCCCCGCCACCAACTCAGAAGCAGCTCTGTCTGAGCCTCAGTGTGTGTCCAGATGAGACTCCTCTGAAGAAATACCCCCAGGATTTCATGACTTTTGAAAACCTTCTTCCCAGTGGCCTTTCAACCCCTCCCTGCCCAGAGGGTCCCCTGTTCCCTGGGGACTCAGGTTCAGCTGTTCATTTTGGCCAAGCCACGCCACTTTCCCGAACCTCAGCTACTTCACAAAGAGATGGGACAGTGACCTGCTGACCACACAGCCCAGTGATCACCACGTCCCAGTGGCTCCCTCTCACTGGTCACCTGCCAGAGGCCCAGCGCCTTGCAGATGGAACCCCTCTTGGTTACTTCCCCCTCTCCTGCCCTCCCCAGTGTTTCTCCCCTCCCTGGGCGAAGGCCCTCACCTCCCACGTGGTGGAGTTTTTCCTGTACTGGATCTCGAATGCGTGGTCTATGTGCTCGTATTGCATTTTCATTGCTTTCCAGCGCAGGCTGTAGCTGTCTCCATCCTTGCTGACGGTGAGGGACGGAGGGGCCATCTGGACTGGAGGGAGGGAAACTGTCAGGAGCATCACCCCCCTCTGCAAAGGAACATTCCCTGTGTCTCATGCTAGACAGTGGGGCCGTCTCCACTGGCACAAGACCCCGCTTCTTGAGCTCCTGACCTCATGTGATCACCCGCCTTGGCCTCCCAAAGTGCTGGGATTACAGGTGTGAGCCACTGCGCCCAGCCTGATTACGTTTTAGGCGCTGTCACACATGCTTATTCAACAAGAATTATCGTGCTGAATTCTAACAACCCTATACGGCAGGTACTATTAATCTTCACATTTCACAGACAGGGAAACTGAGTCACAGAACCATTAAGTAACTTACCCTAAGGAAAGGCAGCTAAGCAGTGGCAAAGACAAAGATTACCACCCTCCCCCCCACCCAGTGTGATGGACTCTCGTTTGACACTCCCAGAGGTGTAGGGAATTGGGTAAAGGCTAGGACCGGATCGCACGTTCTCACTGCCAGAAAGTCCCCAATACAGCAGCGGGAGCAGGCCTTCAACAACATCTAGATGAGACCCAATAGAAGGTGGCCAAAGAGAAAGGGGAAGCCCTTTGCAGAAAGCACCTCCCACCTGGCTGGCAGACCCACACATTGAAAGAGGCAAAGGGTAAAGAAAGCAGAAATTGGGCATGGAGTCGGAAGTTCTGAACCCTAATCTTTATCTGCCTACTCATAGCTGTGCAATTTTAAGTAAGTCACTCAACCTCTCTGAGCTTCAGTCTTCCCAAATGAAAAATGAGAATGCTTATAACCTTGATGCCTTCACAGTATAAACATAATACGAATGCCCGTAATTTGTTGAGGTCACTTATGTGCCAGGCATTATATGAGACCCTTAATATATGTGTGCATTTGAACAATCAGAATTCCTTTTTCCAGTGAGGATCCCAAGAGAGTTAATGATAAATTCAAACCCAGGTAACTAAGACAAATTGGCCTCTGCTCTTCATATATACTAAAGACTGGACAGAAGAACTTGGTCATCAGGAAGCAACGCGAGAGGTTCCATTGCACTGGGGTCCTTGCTACGTCATAGAAATGAGGGATATTAACCTGGGAGGCTCAACGCTATCTGCATACACCACAGCCCCCAGTTGAAAAGTACATCCTGGATCAGTTACACTGAAGATAGAACATCAGTCGGAGGGGAACTTCGGAAATCAGAAAGAGGAAAATCCGATGAGGAATGAAAGGGCAGGTTTTGGTGGCAGGACCAGGAGGGGGTGGCCAGCAGTGGAGCTTTGGGGAGCTGCAGGGTAGGAGAGGGAAGCAGGAAAGTGGACAAGAGATCAGAGGTTTCAAAGGCCTGCTTTCAGCCACTGCCTTTGTTGTTTCATTGCTTCTCTGTTCACTCGTGGTCACTGGACTGCATCTCTTTGAAAGTGACAAACATGAAGACCGGGCCAGGAGGAGCCCTGAGCTGATTCGGGTTACACAGTGAGGGCGTGCTGGTCCCAGACCATCCCCACAGAGGGCTGGGAGTAAACTCACTGTGCTCTGAGCTCTTTATGTGTTTCTCTGGCCTCCTTGGCTGAACGGAGACGACGTACCGGCCGTGGGTGCTGGGGTCGGGCACGGGAATCCCACAGTGGTGTCTGATGTGGAGGCTGCCGAACTCCTCCCTCAGCACTGGGGAGCACTCTTTCTCCCTGAGGAGCACGGTAGAGCTGAGGGAAGGGGGAGGGAGGGCCCATGGGAGGGAGGAGGGTTGGGGGTAGGCTGGGGCCCCAGGGACAGGAGGAAACCTGTAGAGAGCAAGGCCAAGAGGAGGAGAGGGGACGGAGAAAGGAGATGCTCACCCTGCTTCTGGGCTGGGCTTGTAGAAGAGGCCAAAGGAGACGGAGCTGACCACCTCCCGCCTCACCTCCCAGGAGCAGCTGAGCACGGCGGCCCCGTCGAAGAAGCACTGCAGGTTCTGGGGCTGGGCCTCGTCCCCTGGGAGGGAGACAGGTCCTCATGTGCTCCCCCTCCACCCCTCCCAGAGCTCTCAGCGGGTGCCCACCGTGCGATTCATCACCCAGAGGTCATGGGCTCTGGGGCCAAAAGACCAGGGCCGAGACTTCAGCCTGAACCTGCCAGCTGTGTGCCCAACAGCTCTGAGAGAGAGATCTGTGCCCTGCACACCCTCCCGGGAGGATGGAAATAGCATCTAAGTCTCAGTGTTTGGGGACTGAACAGAATAACCTGGGTACGCCCTGCACACCCTGCAGCCTCCGTTAACACACAGCTGCTAATAGCGCTGTTGTTGTTATTGCAATTGCCACTGGCAAAGGGTGAGCAGAAAACTGGAAGCCCAAAGTAAACAGATGCAGAGTCCCACCAGGCAGCGGTCACAGTAGAGGTGGGACGGCCCAGGGACGCTACTGGATAAACGGCAGCAGGAGATCCGGGAAGCCCCCACGTGGAGCCCAGGACCCCTGCTGTGCCAGGAGCCCCTGACGAGCCTGCCCTTCCACCATGGGGCATTTCCTGGGCTCTGGCTCCATTACCTGGCTGGGAGTCCCACTTAAACTCTGGGCTCCACTTGCTGGGACGTCCTGAGAGCCGAGAACCTGGGGCCAGGCGGGTCCGCACTCGGGCCACATAGGTGCTGCTGGGCATGAGGTGCTCTGGCCCCAGGGTGGCCTGGGAGGCATTGGAGAGGAGGGTGGCCGCATCCTGTGGGAGACAGTGGGAGCTGGAGGAGGGTGCTATCCCGTCCCTTTGGGCTGGGGCAGCGCTGGCTGTGGTTCCTACCTCCCAAGAGTCCTGGAGCCGTTTATAGACCACCTCAAACTCCAGGTCCCCCTGAGACAGCCACTGGCTCTGGGGGCCCCCCAGGGCCACACTCCAGGTCAGCAGGAAGTGGTCCTGGTGACTGCTGATCTGCAGGTCCTTGGGCGCAGGAGGCTGGACTGGAGGGAGGAAGTGAACGTCACCTCAGGCTGGATGGCTGGGGCAGTCAGGGCCTGCGTGGCCTTTTGTGTGGACACGGGGTTCCAGGCCACCCCTGCCTCATCAGGTGAGGGACCTTGAGCAAGACCCATCTCCTCTGCGGGCCTCAGCCCTTCAGCTGCAAAACTGTAGGGTTTCAACGTGAAAGCCATGGAAAGCCATGCCTCCCACTGCATCGCCCCAGAAGCCTTCCTGGCTGCCAGGCTGTCATCTCCAAGGTCAGGGTTGCTGAGCAGTGTGTTGACCGCTTTGTTGGTATACGTAGGTGCTCAAGGAAAGAAGGCTGAATGAATGAGTCATGTGTATATCCTAAGTAGGATTTCCATGCCCCCATGTCCCCATCCCCCGGCCAGTGTGGCCTTGTCATTTCTAAGGATGAGCGTTTAGGTCACATTCTGGGCTTCAACATCTTCCCTAACTCCTGCTCCTCCAATCCACCCTGTAAGTCCCTGTCCCTAGCATTCGCACCCCCACATCTGATCATGTCACTCCCTCAGTGCTCTCCATGCCTAGAGGACACATGCAGTCTCCCCTCTGCCCTGAGACTGCAGGACACAGCGGCCTCTCCAGGGCCAGCCCCTGCCTGTGTCTCCTGCTTCTCCCCACTGCTGTCTAGCCCTTGAAGCGGATGCTCCCTGGACACAGTGGTGAGCGAGTTTCCCTGCTGCCCATGCCTTCCTGATCCCCCAGCATCTGCATAGCTCTTACCCTGTCAGGGAGGCTCTTCCCGCCCTCCCCTCCTGTCTACCCTTCAGATCTGAGGTGCAAAGCTCCTCCCTCTGGGAAGCCTGTCCTGATCTCCTGGGGGCCTTGCTCTCTGTCCCCTGCATGAGGCACCCACCCGCCGCTGTCAGTAAGTTCTCACGGGGGACAACATCCAATGTTTCCCCTCCCTCCAGCCTGGGCTCTCTGAGCTCTACTTGGGAAGGAAGGGACTCTCATATCCATCAAACCCATGTGTGGAAATATTGCTTCAGATGGATTCCTGGTGGTCCAACCCATCCCCTGCTCTGGAAGCTGCTTAATGATGCTGTGGCAGAAAGGGGCAGGAAGCCTTGGCCAGAGCCCCTCCGGTGTGACCCTTGCCAAGAGAACCAAGTGGCCCAGTGGTTAGGACTAGAGACTCGGACTGTCCTGGGCCGGATCTCAGCTCTGCCAGCAGCAGCAGAGAGGCCCTGGACTAGTCACCTCCTTCTCTGTTCATTTCAGCAGCAGCCACAGACACCAGTAGCAGCACCAAGCCTGCTGTGGCTCTGCGTGCGTCTCTAGTGACAGCCTGCAGGGCCTCCCACCAGCCTGCCACTGGGGTGGGCTTTTGCCACATCAACGAAAACTTTCATAAAACGCCTCCCCTTCTACGTGTAGTTTCATTCTACAATGAATGAATGTAATTTTCATTCTACAATTCAACCGTTTCCTTGAATGCAGGACTTTGAAGTGCACGTTATATTTCTTTCTAATACAGAGTCAAATAAAACCTCAAGATGTAAAATCATCATCCACCCCTCCCTAGACCACGGACAGCTTCATGGGCACTGTGAACTCGCAGCCCACCCTGGAGCCCCTCCTCTAGGGCAGTAAGGAGACGAGCTCCTTGTCTACAGGGCAGAGCGCACCCGGGAAGACTGACCCGACTCTGTCATTACTGCTCAGTGTGGACTTCAGAGGAGGCATCTGACCTCCTGGGCCTCAAGGGCCACATCCAGGAAATGGGTTGCTGCAGAAATGAGATGAAGCAACTAAGTTGAAAGAGTTTTGAACCAGGTGGGTTTCTAACAGGGTGGCTAGAGCGGTTTTCTTTAAGGGCAGCCTGCAGAGCTGGAAGCGCATGGCTTGGTGGGAGGTGGGCGCAGCCAGGGGCAGGGGAGCTGCCTTTGTCAGGAGCCCCTCACACAGTCCCTGCTCTGATGCCTCCCTGTAAGCAGACCACACCCTCATCCCTCAAGAGACCCTCACCCAACCCCAAGGCACAGTCTCCCACCTTCAAGACTACCCTGGCCAACCCTGGTATCCCCCATCCACACAGGACACCAAGCCTAGGGCAGGGCCTCCAGCCACTCACCATGCTGGGTCAGAGTGACGGTGAGCTGGGTGCCCAGAAGCCTGTCTGGTTCGAATGAGAAGCGGTCAGTGTCAGAGCTGACAAAACTCTGGTAGGGAATGACACATTTCCTGGGCACGCAGTGGGGATGCGGGCAGGCTGACCAGGGCATGTCATCGCTGAGGTCGCAGGACACTGGCTCCGAAGGGTCCCTGCTGGGAGAGGACATGGCTTAGCGCAAGGTGCGTAGGGACTGCTCACTCCTCAAAGGTGCATTGAGTGCTCACCACATGCCCGGCTCTGTCCAGAATCAGGGACCAGGCAGAGGCAAAACACACACAAATCCCGCCCACAGAGCTGCCATCCCTGGAGACGGGGACCCGCATGGAACAAAGTGTATAGCGTGTGCAGTAGAGAGAACTTCATGTGGATAAAAAAAGCAAGAAGCGGGTGAGGCAGGAGGAAGGGCTGGGATGAGGATGCAATTTGAAATATGGGACAAGCAGGCCTCTCTCAGGAGGTGACCTGCGGGCAAAATGCTAAGGCGATGAGGGAGGGACTACGCAAATCTCGAGGATTTCAGGAAACGGAACAGCACGTGCAAAGGCCCTGGGGCAGGCAGAGTTTATGTGTTGCATGGCTTGGCCTGAAACCAGTGTGTGAGGAGTAGAGCATGGGACAGGGAGGTCGAGGAGACCCATCCATCAACGTGACGGGATTGGATCTCACTGTGAGTGAGTGGGCAACAGTTATGAGCAAAGGCGTTGTAGATTTTGATGAATGCTTTGAAAGGATTCCTGAGGGTCATCGGTTGTGAACAGATCGAGGTGGGAGTGCGGCCATGTGGGAAGCAGGGAGACCAGTTAGGCGGCTTCTGGAATACCCAGGTGACAGGAAGTGCTGTGCACCAGGGCAGTGGGGCTGGCATGGGCGAGGTTCAAGTTCTGTTTGAGGTAAGGTTGGCGGTGTTTGCTGGTGGGTCGGACGCTGCAGTTGGGAAGGAATGGTGGCACAAGCGCCTTAAAAACAAGACAAAATCCTCCCAGTTGTTTAGCTTGAGCCACTAGGAGCTCCCATGTGGCAAAGGGAGGTGGGGAGGACGGAGGCAGCAGAGCCCTGGGTGAGGGCGGGACTTTGGCTGAGGACGTTTGGAGTTGGAGTTGCCTGTTGTCTAAGTGACGGTGGAGAGGCCAGTGCACCTGGAGGGCTGGAGCTTAGGGGAGGTGTGGGCTCAAGGTCGCCTTTGGGAGATGCCCCCGTGGCCGCAGGGGGTCTCTGTTGGGTGGATGCAGCAGAGAGGAGGTCCACGGACCTGCTCCGGGGTGTCTCATCCTTGGCAGCCAAGAGAACCAAGAGATAGCAGACAAGGAGAAAAGGGAGGATGGGCAGGGCCCCGGGGGTGCTGGGTGAGCTGTGGGCAGAGGCAGGTGCAGGAGGCCAGGTGGTCCTCCTTGTCAGGGGCTGTCCTTGGGTCAAGTAGGAAGAGGGTTGAGGCCCGACTGTGAGATCGTGCTCCCTGGGACAGTGCTGACTTGGACCAGAGCAGTTTGGGTGGCCTGGTGGGGGCGGCCTCCTAGGGGATGGGCTCAGGAGGAAATGGCTGGAAAGACACTGGGTGTGGTGAGTGTGGACAACTCTTTATGGGCCACTGCTGTCAAGGGAAGCAGAGAAAAGGGGGCTGTAGGGCTTTGGGGTCAGGAGACACCCGGGTGCTGTACTCCTGTGCGCACCTGTGAGGGGGTCAGGGCAGGTTTGCAAGGCAATTGGGAAGGATCCCGGGGTGGGGCACGGTGGGTGGCACAGGGCGGAGTGGGGACTTGGGGCCCCTGATGTTCCTGAGCAGCAGGACCAGACAGGATCCTGGCTCAGAACCAGGCCCAGGCCCCAGCGGTCGGCAGAGGGGGTGGTGAGTGTGAGTGTGGGTGGGCGGGGAGCTTCTCCTGGTCCGCTGTGTGTCACAGCAGCAGGAAGCAGGTCACAGCGAGGGGCAGGATGGTCTTTGAGTAAAATGGAGAAGGCCCGATGGAGGCACCCCGGGGAACTGAAGACGGTGGAGGGGTGGGGAGTGGCAGAGCTGGGCCAGTCGGTTGTCACCTGCCTCTCTGGTTCCAGCTGTTTAATTATTTCATTTAAGGCTAATTTAGATCCTGGCCAACACCCCAGAGCGATGCTGGTCCCCTTCCCGTGTGACACGTGCCCAGGAGAGCTTGGGTAGAGGGGCAGCAGCCCATCCTGTGGCCAGGGCTGGTGCCTCACCTCCGGGGCCTCAGTTTCCCCATCTCTGAACTCGCAGGGCAGCTCCCAGGCCAGTGCCATCTCCCTGGTCAACTCTGGACAGGCAGGTGGTGGCACAGCTGGGGCATCGTGGCCTGGCCCTGCCCACCTCACAGTGAAGAGGGAGTAAGGTCATGTGGGGCAACTGCGTTAAATTGGGAAGGAATAAGAGAAGATTGTCACCACTGTCACCACCACCCTTATCAACAACATCAGCATAGAAGGGCGCTTCCCAGAAACCCCACGTCAGATGACAGCACCTGGCCTGGGCAGGTACCTGGAGGGGCAGGACAGGTTCCTCTGTCCTCTGTCCGCTCCCACCCCAAGGCTGAACTGACCTGTCCTTGTCTACACCGCCGTCCCACACCAGGCACAGAGGACACTGTAGCCCCTGCCCATGGACCCTGTGCCCGGCGTTACTCACTGATTCACCCTGCGAATGAGGGTCACATTGACGAGCCGCTGGGCATCCCACGTGTCCGCCCACCTGCAGGTGATGTGGCTGGTGTAGTCATTGTAGCAGCGAAGCGTCTGCATCGGGACGGTTTCTGACAAGAGGAACAGGAGGGGGTCACCTCTCTCCCCTGCAGGGTCCCTTGTCACCACCACCCCCCTCAGCTGCTTTGGGATGCCCAGCACTGAGGAGGGGGTCTCCCAGGTCCCTGCAGAAGCCCCAAGTGGCCAGGCAGAGGTGCCCTAGGTTGGGAAGGGGGTCTGCCGGAGTGGGCTCCTGACTGTGGACCCTCTTCTCCTGACAGAAGTGTGCTATTCTGTTAGTTCTCAGCACACTTTCTGGGCCTCTTCTGTGTGCTGTTCCTGGGCACGGTCCCCTCCACCATCCCTGGACAGAGACATACACCAGGCACAGCCCTGGCCTAGCCCCACTGTGCAGCCTGGGAGGGGCACACACACAGCTCTGGGCTGCAGCATGGCAGAGTCCTACCCTGCGCCCTCCCCCTGCCCTCTAGTCCCCAGCCTCGGGAGCCTGGTGTTTGTTAAGCAGACTGTGGTCCCAGCATTGCCAAGAAGCCAGATCTCTGGGAGCCCTTAGGAGGGACCTTTTCACCCCAAGAGCCCGGGAGCATCCCAGCAGGGCCTTCAGGCACAGGAGGGCTCTTGAGGCTGAAGCAGGGAGAGAGGCCCAGGCTGAGGCCCTGCAGGAGCAAAGCCCTGGAGGTGGGAACCACTGAGGCTCGGCGAGTGTCTGCTGGGGAAGGAGGGGCAGGGAGACGGCCAGAGCAGCCAGCCTGGAGCCTGGAGCCTGGAGCCGGGAGTGCCTGGCTGAGAAATGTGGGCTGGGAAGCCAGATGCGCTCAGCTGCACTTTCCAGGACAGGGTGAGCAGGAATGTGCGGGAGGTGGGAAGCGAGGGAGGCCCAGGGAGGGCCAGGGGAGAGACAGAGGGAGGGGAGCAGAGGAGCGTGGGTGGGCAGGGTCCTGGGGACATGCTGCAGGCCTCCCTGAGGGTGCAGCAGTGATGAGGGGCACAGGGAAGGGGTTATAGCCACAGACTCACCTTCTTCCCCTGCCAGGCTGCGCCCCCAGCACAGGGCCAGCAGGGCCATGCGGAGCAGCCCCCGGGCCAGCGCCATCTCCCTGGTCAGCCCTGGACAGGCAGGCGCCAGCACAGGTGGGTGCTGGCCATGGGCCGGGCGAGGTCCTCAGTGTCCTGGAGTCCTGTGCTCCTGCCCAGCTGGGAGCCAGGCCAAATCCATTTCACAAGCTCCTGGGACCTCTCCCTCCTGGCCTCTGCCTCCTCCAGGCCTGCAGGAGGAGATGTCAGCAGTGAGCTGCCCCTCCCCCTCCACGTGCCCCAGGGACACCGCCCATGATGTAGGGACAACCCAGAGAGGTGGCCCTCATGCATGGCCCCTCAGTCTCCTGGGACATGCAGGTGATGGGCGTGGGCTGCATGGCCTGAGGCACTGTGTCCCCACTTGGGTCACTGACACCTACCACCTCACAATGCACTAGAGAGCACAGCAGCAGGGCTGGGATGTGACTCCTACTAAGCTCCCCATGGGCTGCTGGTCCCTAGTCGCTCCGGGGTCTCTGGGTGTGGGATGCCACAGTGTCATTCCCTGGACATGATCACATGTGCACACGCGTCCCGGCTTACACACAGCTGTGCTCTCCCCACCCCCGCTCCATTTACCGTCACCTCCCCACCCTCTGCCTGCCGGTTCCCTTTTCTCCTTGGAGGCTGGGGGTTTCCTGCCTTTCATTTCACGGGTCTGGGAAGTACCCAAGAGAGCAGAACAGACGACTGCGGCTGCTTTCCTTCTGTGAGATTGTTGGAAGCTTCACTCAAGATGCACACACACACACACACACACACCACACATATGTACAACACATATATACAGACACACAAAGATACATATATACACATAAACATGCACACACACATATATACACACAAACGTACACAGACACAAACACACACATACACAGACACAGGCACAGAGACACACACAGACACATACAGATACATACAATATACACACATATACACACAAACATTCATACACACATACACACAAATACACACACAGAGCCACAGACACAGACACATATGCACAACACAGACACACAGATGCATATTCACACATATATACACAAACATGCACACACATACACAGACACACATACACACACGCACAATACATACCTAAACATATATACACATGCATATACCATCTACACACAGACATATGCACATACAGATACATGCACATACACACACACACACACACACACACACACACACACAGAATCTACCAATGGGCATATTGGCTGGGAACAAACTCTACTTGACCCCAGAATGTACTAATATATGATGAAAGAAGAATCAGGAATCAATGTGGCATGATGAAATATTCAATTACAAAATGCTAAAATAATTGAGTAACAACATAAAAATGTCCATCTAAAACCCCATTTTACACCATTCCCCAAATAACAGGTTAATTATGCCTTTAAATATAAACAGTTACATTCTAGGAAACCTGCAAACCATAGGCGTGAATGCCTTTGAACTTTGTAAGCTTAAAAGCATAGGTGACATCACAGAGACAAACGCTGGCAGCAGGACATAAAAGTGAAATCGTCTGTATTTTGTCAAACTGACTGAAGCATAAAAGCAAAGGACAGAGTACAAACAGAAAACATTTGCACCAACGTATTAATCTGTTAGGACAACTGTAACAACTTTCCATAGAGTGAGTGGCTTACAAGAAACAGAGTTTATTTCTCATCATTCTGAGGCTGGGAAATTCAAGATCAAGGTGCAGGCAGATTCGATATCTGGGGAGGGCCTGTTTCTCACCGTCTTCTCACTGTAATCTCACATGGTGGAAGGAGCCAGGGAGCTCGCTGGGGTCTTTACAGGGTGCCAGTCGTGTTCTACAGGCACTACCTCCAGAGGGTCTCACATTGGAGATTAGTTTGTGACATAAACTTAGGAAGACTCGAACATAAAAACCATAGCGACCAGAATTATGGAGGACCGGTTAGTGTCTTTTACCGTAAACGGTTAAAACAAATCAGTTTTATCAAAGAGCACAAACAATATTCACATACGCAGAGAGAATTCATGATGGTGGCTGACAGTATTTCAGTGTTTTCCGTGAGCCAGGCATTGTTCAAAAGGCTTTACAGATGCGAATGCTTCTATGTATAGGATACCACTAAAATCTCCACTTTATAGATGAGACAACAAGGGTGGGACGTTATGTAATTGGTCCACAATCACATGGCTGGTAAGGAGCAGGCTGGGATTCAAGCCCATGGCAGGTTACCTTTAGATGCTGTCCCTGACCACTAAGCCTACAGTGGCTCCATTTCCCAAACATCAAAACAGCGCACGTCTATTCTGACATTTACTGACCCAGCAGACGCTTCTACAGACATGCACAGATACAGCAAAAATAAAAGAATACATTATGACATCTAAATCAGCATTCTCAGGGAGATTTGAGAAATGATAGCCATTTGAGAGAAGACACGTCTATGCAAAGAACAGAGTTCTTGGAATTTGAAGATAGGAGAGCCATCATTTAAAAAAGAATCAATCAAAGGCCGGGTGTGGTGGCTCATGTCTGTAATCCCAGCAGTTTGGGAAGCCAAGGCAGGTGGATCACTTGAGGTCAGGAGTTTGAGACCAGCCTGGCCAACATGGTGAAACCCTGTCTCTACTAAAAATACAAAAAAATTAGCTGGCCATGGTGGCGCGTACCTGTAATCCCAGCTATTCTGGAGGCTGAGGGAGGAGCATTGCTTGAACCTGGGAGGCGGAGGTTGCAGTGAGCTGAGATCGTGCCACTGCACTGCAGCCTGGGTGACAAAGAAAGACTCTGTTTCAAAAACAACCAATCAATAATGGGCCAAACCACAGAATGGATACCACACATGCAAAAGATAGATACTGAAAATAGAGCAAATGGTCAAGAAGATGAAAAGGCTTGGGAAAGAAATCCAAGAATTCCAGCATCCGGAAGCAGGCGGTGGAGAGAATTAAGAGCACATATATCAGACGGCATTAGCTACCTAGTCTGAAAGACAGTGGAAGACCTTGTCCCTTTCCTCCTGGAGGCAGAAGCCAAGGTTTTAGCTGAGTTTATTGCTACACAGAATAAAAAGTTATATTTCCTATACTCTCTTGCTGCTAGGTGTAGTCAAGTGACTAAATGTGGTCCAAGGAAATGAGAGTAGAAGCATTGTGTTTGTCTTCCAAAAAAGGCTGCTTAATGGCAGTTGACTCGGGTGGGAGGGGTCCATTTTTGTCCCTGTCTTTTTTCCTTCTTCCAGCCTGCAACTTGGAGGTGACAGCTGGAGCTTCAGCAGCTATTTTGGACCATGAGGTTACCTTGAGGATGGAAGCCATATGTGAAGATGATGAAAAGAAAGAGAGGAAGCTGGATTCCTACTGCCACTCTGGAGCAACCACACTAGCCTGAAACTGCTTCTTCTGGGCATCTTTTCTATGCCGGGAAAAAGAAACTTCTATGTTGTTATGCCACTGTTGCTTGGGAATTTTCCATGTGCAACCAAACAGATACAATAACAAATGGGAGAAAAAGTCACAGGGGTTTCAAGCAGACAATAGGCCACTCAATAAAGAACAAGATTCCTTTTCAGAATATTTTTTAAAGACAGTAGGAATCTGTATTTAAGGGAGGCTACTACAATGGAGTTTTGAAGTAGGGGACAGAGATCCGGGTTCACTCCCAAAATTCCTTTTAATAGACCCATACCCAGTTCTCACTGGTAAATTTTCCATCTTGCAAGAATTTGAGGACAAGCCTAGAAATGTTTCCAGAAGAAAGCATATAGGATACTTCGAATGGAACAAGGGTCAGATTGGCAAGAGATTTCACGTGAGAGACCCTGAACTTTAAATCGAGGTCTTGAAAATACCAACGGAAAATATGTTTAAACCTAGAATCACAAAATGCCAAGTTTTCTTTGACATTTAAAGGACACAAAAAATGTTTGCTGCCTAAGGACAAAGAAAGTTTTTCAGATCTTTTCTGAAAAAGAAATAGTCGAAGTTAGATTTCAGGAAGAAACATCCAAGAAAGGCTGAAATATTGAGGCAAAGAAACCAACACTTATAGGTAAGTAAAGAAGAATATTGAACTAAAACTCAGATGATTTTAACAAGAGAGTTGGCCATGAGGCTGGGGTGGAGAGTGGAGGAGAACTGAAAACTTGCTGAAGATCTCCTCTTGTTTTGGAAGGCATATATGTGCTAAATAAATCCAAATGCTGGTGGCCTCCCAAAGTGCTGGGATTGCAGGCATGATCCACACGCCCAGCGCAGAAAATATAAATTCAATACATTTTAAATACAGTTTAAAAAATATATTATTATTATTTTTGAGATAGAATCTCACTCTATCACCCAGGCTGGAGTGCAATGGTGTGATCTCAGCTCACTGCAATCTCTGCCTCCTGGGTTCAAGCGATTCTCGTGACTTAGCCTCCCGAGTAGCTGGGACTACAGGCATGCGCCACCGCACCCGGATATTTTTTTGTATCTTTAGTAGAGCCAGGGTTTCATCATGTTGGCCATGCTGGTGTCAAACTCCTGGCCTCAAATGATCTGCCTACCTTGGCCTCCCAAAGTGCTGGGATTACAGGCATGGGCCACTACGCCTGGCCTTGGCAAACTGATCTAAATTCTAACAAGCCAAAGATGAGAGACTTGCTCCATTCGCTAGAAAAGTAATACAGAATGTGGTGGTAGCCAAATGAACAGAAAACAATAAGGAAAATAACCAGCTGCATATAGAATCTTAGGAAGTAAGAGGGGCATTTCAAGTCACTGAGGAGAGGAGAAACCGCACACTCATAATTAGCAATGTTGAGACAATTAAGACGGTAATTATTTTTAAAAGTTACTTTACACATTATTTATCCCTCTAAATTCTAGCTGGACTAAAAATCTAAAAGTCAAAACCAAAATAATAAAATGATTGTAACTCTTTCTATAATCTTAGAAATTGAACAAGACGACAAAACCAGAAACCATAAACTAAAAAGTAATGACAGGCTTGACTTAACAATGAAAACATTTTTATATGACATAAGACTTATCTTAAACATGATAAAGAAAAAGATAAGCGATAACCTGGGAGAATACATTTGAACACATAGAAATGGATTACTAATACACATAATAAATGAGTCACTCCAGAAGTTAAGATGTAAAAGACAGAGAACTCAACAGGTTAACAAAAGACTTCTCCACATCCACCATAAATGAAATCCAAAAGACTAATCTACATATAGAAAATATAAGATTTCACCCATTATCAGGGAAAGAAAAAAATCAAGCAACAATGAGAATTTTCATTTATAATATTGGGCAAAATTAGAAGATTGATAATTTCTCTAATGGTAAGTTGCCCCCTCCCCTTTTTTTTGGAGATAGAGTCTTGCTCTTTTGCTCCGGCTGGATTGCAGTGGCATAATCTCAGCTCACTGCAACCTTCGCCTCCTGGGTTCAAGCAATTCTCCTGCCTCAGCCTTCCTAGCAGCTGAGACTACAGGTGCACGCCACCATGCCTGGCTAATTTTTATTTTAGTAGAGACAGTTTCACTGTATCGCCCAGGCGGGTCTTGAACTGCTGAGCTAAGGCAATCTGCCCACCTCGGCCTCCCAAAGTGCTACAATTACAGGCATGAGCCACCACACCCGGCCAGATTGGCCCTTTTATGCATTACCTTGGGTGTGCCAGCTTAGCTCAGTTACTTTGAGGCTGATTTGGCAATACCTATTAAAATTTCGAAAGTACAACCTCTTGCACAGTAATTCTGCACTTAGTAATTTAGGCTACAGAAACACTTTCATAGAGGTGGAAAAACTAAAAAAAACCTAGTTGTCTA